CAGGCGAAGCAACACAAGAATAGCTTCAGCAAGGATGCAGGAAGCATGTCGAAGGCTAGTCTTAAAGTCATATACTCTGATGTATGTGGACCAATCCAGGTGGATTCGATGGGAGATGACAAATACATTGTTACATTCATAGATGATTTCAGTCGAAAGCTGTGGACTTATCTGATCAAGAAGAAAAGTGAAGTGATCGAGGTATTTTCCAAGTTTAAGTCTATGGTTGAAAGGCAAAGTGGTCGAAAACTCAAAGTTTTGAGAACTGATGGTGGTGGAGAATGTGTGTCGAAAGACTTCGACAGAATATGTGAAAAGGAAAGGATTGTGCATGAGGTGATACCACCCTATACTCCACAACAAAATGGAATTGCAGAAAGGAATAATCGAACCATCATGAATATGGTGAGAAGTATGTTGAAAAGCAAGAATTTACCTAAAGAGTTTTGGGGTGAAGTTGTTTCGACTGCAACATACATTTTGAACAGATGTTCTACAAAGAAGCTAGAAGGAATTACTCCAGAAGAATGTTGGTCTGGTGTGAAGCCTAGCTTGAGTCATCTGAAGGTATTTGGATATATTACACATAGACATGTGCCAGATAAGTTGAGAAGAAAACTTGATGGCAAGTCAAGTCAAATGATTCTAGTTGGATATCATTCGATAGGAGGCTACAAGTTGTTTGATCCAGAGAACAAGAAGATTGTGATCAGCAGGGACGTGATCATAGATGAGTTTAAAGAATGGGATTGGACTGAAAATGTCAAGAAAGATTCATTGGGAATCCTATTCAAAGAGCCAGAAACTCAAGTCGAAAGAGAAGTTCGACAAGAGGAACCAGCAGATATACCAAGTACAAGCAGACCTCAAAGAACAAGCTGCATGCTTGCAAGATTGCAAGATTATGTGATTACATCAGATGATGTGATAGATGATGAAGGTGAGCTGATACATTATGCTTTATATGCAGATGTCGAACCCGTTAATGCAGCTGAAGCATTAAAGGATTCGAAGTGGATAAAAGCAATGAACAAAGAAGTGAAGTCTATCAAAGACAACAACACTTGGCCACTTGTCGAATTGCCTCAAGGCAAGAGGCAATTGATGTCAAGTGGGTATACAAAGTGAAAACGAATTCGAAAGGTGAAGTAAGTCGACATAAAGCAAGGCTTGTGGCGAAAGGATTTATATAGAAAGAAGGAATAAACATCGATGGAGTTTTTGCACATGTTGCTAGGATCGAAACAATCAGGTTGATTGTTGGTCTAGCAGAAATAAACAGTTGGCACATATGTCAGATGGACGTGACGTGTGCATTCCTAAATGGACCCTTAGATGAAGAAGTCTATGTTAAACAATCAGTTAGGTTTGTGAATCATGACGAAGAAAGAAAGGTGTACAGGCTACATAAAGCCTTGTATGGATTGAAACAAGCTCCAAGAGCTTGGAATAAGAAAATTGATAGTTTCCTAAGGGAGAAGGAATTTGTAAAGTGCACAACTGAACATGGAGTATATGTAAGAAGAAGCAATAGTGAATTTCTTATACTATGTCTCTATGTAGATGATTTGTTGATAACATGTAGCTGTAAAAGTGAGATCGAAGACTTCAAAGGTGATCTCAGCAAGGAATTCGAAATGTCTGATTTGGGTGAGATTTCATATTTCCTTGGCATCGAATTCTACAAAAGCAGTAGAGGTTTGATGATGCATCAAAGAAGATATGCAGGAGAAATTCTCAAGACATTTGAGATGGAAGAATGCAACCCAACTTCGACACCTGCAGAATCAAGACTGCAACTGTCGAAAGATGCAGATGAAGATGATGTTGATCCAACCCAATACAGAAGACTTATTGGATCATTGAGATACCTTTGTCATGCAGAAGTCAAAGGTATCACATCTAGCAACAGTGAAGAGGATACTAAGGTATCTCAAAGGAACTTTTGATTATGGCATTTTGTTTCCTGCAGCTGATAAAGGAAAAGAATGTAAGTTAGTGGGATACACTGATTCGAGTTGGTGTAGTGATGCTGAAGATCGAAAGTCAACAGCAGGATATGTGTTTATGCTAGGTGGTGCACCAGTTGCTTGGAATTCAAGAAAGGAACCAGTAGTGGCATTATCATCATGCGAAGCAGAATACATAACTGCTTCTCTTTGTGCATGTCAAGCAACTTGGATGGTGAACTTGGTCGAAGAGATAACAGGGAAAGATCATGGAGCAATTACCATGAAGATCGACAACATGTCAGTTATCAATCTGGCGAAGAACTCAATAGCACATGGTCGAAGTAAGCACATCAAAATGAGGTTTCATTATCTTCGAGAGCAGGTAGCAGATGGGAAGATGAATTTGGAACACTGCAGAACTGAGAATCAGATTGCAGACATCATGACGAAGGGAGTGCAAGTCGAAGTATTCAGAAAGCTAAGAGCCATGATGAACATAGATAGTTTAGACACAATGAATTAGATGGTGTGTTAAATTGTAATTCAGTGTGTCGAAACTATGTGTCGAAAAGATTTGATTTGTTTTAGATTTGATTTAAGTCTAGAATATATTAGATTTGATTTAGTAACAAAATAGATATTTTTGGCTTTGGGCTTATGGTGTAAGCTCAGTTATAAATAGAGGGAGTAACCCCTATTTTTGTAAGCAAGTCATTCACAGTATTTTGCAGTTGCAAAGTGAATAAGAAAATTTTCACAGTTTGTGAACAGAGAGAAACTCTGCAGAAATTATTTGTCTTGTCTTCTTTTCTTTGTTTGTCTCATAATTAAATTGTCATTGTGGTAGAAATTCATCATAAAATTTGATAGATTTCTAACACAATTTTCAATACACTTGTATTCAAAATATGTTACTTTTTTTTAATGTCAATATTTTTATTATTCTCTTTGTTTAAATATTTTTTTGACCATAACTAAAATATGACTTTTTTCTCTCTTTATTATATTTATAGAGATAAAAAATTAAAGCAAAATTTAGTTTTTTCCAGTCATGCTAATTTAATAATTAAATTATAGCTTTAATTATAATTAGAACATTTTTTCTATTTTAATGATAAATTATGAACTAAAAAATGGAACGCACAATTTTCAATTATAATTAGCACATTTTTGCGATATTAACTCTTTTTATTGTATTTTAAAGGTTTTGCTAGCTGCTTCCTTTAAGATCAAAACTAAAAATATTATAATTAAAAAAATTGAATAGAATAAAATAATATTTAAAAATTCCAAAAAAAATAAATATATAAAAAATAATTGTATAAATAATTTATTAATTTGTATCCTTAAAATATATATTAATATTAACCATATTTTAAATCATATGTATTCTTTGTTTTTATCTGTCTTAAATTATATATTATTTTAGAATATAAATAGCAAATTTACTAGTATTTTTTTTTATATAATTTTTTTATTATATTTTAATTCATTTAATTTTATAAATACCTTTTAAACTTTGGTGTCTATCCACAAACTCATTAATCAATTCATATAAACTTTTTCTTAATAAAAATACTATTTGACTAACTACTTTTAATAAAATATTTTCCTAAACAAAAATTATTTTTATAAAAATCAATATAAATAATTGTTATTCAAACAAAATATATACAAAATTTGAATAAAAACATCTAGATTAAAAGGGAAGAAGTACTTTATAAGAAAATTATGGATTAAATGTATTTTTAATCTTACAAAATTATTAAATTTGAATTTTAGTTTAGTCTTTATAAAATTATTTATGTATGTACACGTAATTCTAGTTTCTGTAAAAAAGAATAAAACGTCACGCAAAAATAATTTTATATCGACTAAAATATGACTTTTTTTATAGATATTAAAAGTTAAATTTAAAATATTTATAGAGATCAAAAATTTATTTAATTTTAAAATTATTAAATATTATTTCTGGTATTTAATATATATATATATAATTTATTAAATAATTATTTTAATTGTTCTGTATTTTAGATTAGATATATTAATTATTCGATGAATTTAAATACAATTTTATTTATTTATTTAAAGTAATTTTATTTTTTAAATATATTATATAATAATGTATTTAGATAATATTATAGATCATATACAATGTATATTTAATAAATTTTAAAAATAATTTTGTTAACATAGAGGATATAATGTATTTGAAAAGGTAAAAAAATACTTAAAAACCTTCTAGATATAATTAAATTTATTTAATTAACGGTGTATCTAATTTATATTTAGTCCATATACATTAATGCTATAATAATTTTTTTATTAAAATAAATAATTTTTTTAAAAATAAATTCATTTAATTAACAATGTATCTGACTTATATTTAATCCATATGCATTGGTTGCCCAATTAAAAAATAAAATTTCTTTTATAATAAAAGATAAGTGAGATGAGAGTATGTTAGAAAAAAAACTTCGAGATCTACTAACACATTTTTTATAATACTTTTTTACTATAAAAATAATTAATTGCTTTTTTCTGTTTTTTGCTATAATACGCCATGGGTACTCAATACTTATATGCTTCTTTGGTATCATAATAATCATCTAAAAGTGATGTATGAGCCATTTTTTTAATAGAAAAAAGATCCCATTTTTTCATTGACCTTTCTTTATCATCACTCTCTCTCTCTTCCTATTTTTTTTCTTATTTTCTTATACATGTAAACATTATATCTATCTATCTATCTAATTCACCTCCTTCTTCAACCTCTTCCTATATATCAGATCTCAGATTCATTTTTCTTTGTGTATCTTATCATAACTATTATCTCTACTTTTTACATTAAGTTCCATGTTTTTTCTTTTGTTGCAATAGATAAACATGATTGAAAAAAACAAGTACTTTTGCTTTAAAAAAAGTACATAAAATCAAAGTTTTCAGTTCTGTTATTGACTTTAAGTACATTGCTATATCTCCATTACTTTATACAAAAATTCTACATGATTTATTTGAGTTCTTTTTGTTTTTGTTGCTGTGTTGATCATGAAGTGTAAGAGAAAGATGGATTCACAAAACATGAATCCGAGTTCAGTTTTTCCAGATGAAGTGCTGGAGAGAATTCTCAGCATGCTGCAATCACGCAAAGACAAAAGCTCAGTCTCATTAGTTTGCAAAGACTGGTTCAACGCGGAAAGATGGTCGAGGAAGAATGTGTTCATAGGTAACTGTTATTCCGTTACACCAGAGATCTTGACTCGGAGATTTCCAAATGTTCGAAGTGTTACCTTGAAAGGGAAGCCACGTTTCTCTGATTTCAACCTTGTTCCTGCTAATTGGGGTGCTGATATTCATCCATGGTTGCTTGTTTTTGCGGAAAAATACCCTTTTCTTCAAGAGTTAAGGCTTAAGAGAATGGCTGTTACTGATGAGAGTCTAGAGTTTCTTGCTTTTTCGTTTCCGAATTTCAAAGCGCTTTCGCTTTTGAGCTGTGATGGTTTTAGCACTGACGGTTTAGCTGCTGTTGCCACTAATTGCAAGTAAGAACTTTTTTTTATTAATTCATATATCTGTACCACCATATCTCTGTAAAAATGCGTGTCAGTGTCAGTATCGTGTCATATTAGAGGTGTCTGTGTTTCATAGGAGAATATTGTTAATCTTTCATTTATGATGTCTAAGACTTAAGTTTTCTGATAGTTAGAAAGATTAGTGTTATTCAGTGTTGTACTAATGAATCATTAATTGATTTTTATGTTTACTGTTGTTGAAGATGCCTTTTTTTTAGCTTTTATCAAGTTGGTGATGATGTTTACTCATTTGGTATGAAATTTTTTGCTTTTGCCTTCTGGATGATGCTATTATAGTTAATAGATGAGTTTACTTTTAAGTAAAATTTGATTCTCTGGTATAAATTGTCGAGGCGATTAAAAGATCATTCTTCTGTTAGATTCATTTGGTTCTTAGATTTCTTTTTTCCTGAGTGCTTTGTTTGTTTGCCATTTTAATGTGTCGCGCCGTGCTGTGATCTTCCATTGGTTGAGATGTTTGTGAATTGTATTGGAAATGGAAACAGAATCTAGCTATAAAGCTTTGATTTTGAGAGTCACTGGTGTTTTGTGTGATGAAATTAACATTTGAGAATCAATTGAGAATAGGAACATGGTGATATTCCTTATTTATGCTGAAAAAAGATGAAGCTACCATGTAGAGAATCAATTGAAAAAAATTTCTTTAGAATTTGAAGAAACTGAAATTTTTTGATCACATCAGTTACATTAATTTGCTAGCATTCTAATCTTTTTGTTGAATCTCAAAATCTTCACTCTTGACAGTATCAGTGTAGTCAAGATCGAGTGCTGGTTTGTAAGGTTGTAAGATTGTAAGATCTTACGTGCTAAGGATGTCTTAGAGTGCTACGATCTGAGAAAGATTGTTTTCGTTGCTGGCATGGTTAAAATCGAGCTTTTTGAAGCAAGATTGTAAAAAACCATGTTAGGACTTTTTCTGTGTGCCTGTATTATAATAATCTGACGATTATAATGGATTGATATTATCTGGATGCAGGAACTTAACTGAGCTTGACATACAAGAGAATGGTATCGAAGACAAAAGCGGTAACTGGTTGAGTTGCTTCCCAGAAAGCTTTACATCATTGGAAGTGTTGAACTTTGCCAACCTAACCAGTGAAGTAAACATCGACGCGCTGGAGAAACTTGTTGGTAGGAGCAAATCATTAAAGACTTTGAAGGTTAACAAAAGCGTAACGCTGGAACAGCTAAAAAAACTTGTAGTTCGCGCCCCTCAGTTATGCGAGCTTGGCAGTGGCTCATTTTCGCAAGAGCTGACATGTCAGCAGTATGCAGAGCTCGAAACTGCATTCAAAAATTGTAAAAGTCTTCACACCCTTTCTGGTTTATGGGTGGCTTCAGCGCGATATCTTCAAGTTCTATACCCTGCGTGTGCGAATCTGACTTTCTTGAATTTTAGTTATGCTCCTCTTGAAAGTGAAGATCTTACTAAGCTTCTTGTTCATTGTCCTAATCTTCGACGTCTTTGGGTATGATTTTCTTCCTGTGTTTTGGAGTTTACTATTATTTTTTTCCATTGTCTGCTAATGAAAATGTATCGGTACATCTATGTTATACAGGTTCTCGACACAGTTGAAGACAAGGGACTGGAAGCTGTTGGATCATACTGTCCATTACTCGAAGAACTGCGTGTTTTTCCTGCAGATCCATTTGACGAGGATGCTGCGCACGGGGTTACTGAATCAGGATTTGTTGCTGTCTCTGAAGGATGCCGGAAGCTTCACTATGTTCTCTACTTTTGCCGTCTAATGACCAATGCTGCTGTTGCTACCGTTGTCCAAAACTGCCCCGACTTTACTCATTTCCGCCTCTGCATCATGAACCCTGGCCAGCAAGATTACCTGACAGACGAAACTATGGACGAGGCCTTCGGAGAAGTTGTTAAGAACTGCACTAAACTTCAGAGGCTTGCTGTATCGGGTTATCTAACTGACCTTACATTCGAGTATATAGGAAAGTATGCCAAAAACTTGGAAACACTTTCGGTGGCTTTTGCGGGAAGCAGTGATTGGGGAATGGAATGTGTACTGGTTGGATGTCCGAAGCTGAGAAAACTCGAGATAAGGGATTGTCCATTCGGCAATGCAGCACTTTTGGCAGGTTTGGAGAAGTACGAGTCAATGAGATCACTTTGGATGTCGTCCTGCAGACTGACCATGAATGGATGTAGATTGTTAGCAGTAGAAAAGCCGAGGTTGAACGTCGAAGTTATGCAGGAAGAAGGAGGCGATGATAGTCGGGCTGAAAAACTTTATGTTTATCGTTCCGTAGCCGGGCCAAGAAAGGATGCACCTCCTTTTGTTCTCACTCTCTGAGTTTCCATCTTTATAGACCAGTTGGACCCATCAATAAAAATAATGCAAGTGTCAAATTCTAAATGAGCAATAATTGTGAACAATAGATCCAAATGACATGAAAAATCTTGTATTTGATTTTCAGATGCTAGAAGTTCTATACTTTTAGGGGATCATGAAGATATTTTGTTGTTTTATTGAAATATTTATTTAGGAAAAGATACATTTTCTTTTGATATTGGCGAAAACCATGGAAACAAATGAGATTTAAAAAGTTTTAAAACAAGTGAATCATGATTGATTGGATAATTGTAGTTAGTTCTTCATATGAGTTCATGAAGTTGGAGATGTCTTAATTCTCTTTATGATGAAACAAGGTTGAAGATACTTAACTCTCTACATGATCTCCAAAGGTTGGGATGCTGACATTTAGAGTGGACAATAAAAAAATTCAACCAAACAAAATTCTAACCTCTTTCTAATAAAAATCTCTCATTTTTGGAAATGAAATCTTGGAATAAATTACAAATTTTTTCTTCTTATTTTTGAATTAAAATGCTGGAAATACCTAGAGATTTTTGAAACCACATAATTCAAAACTTAAATTCCAAAACTCTTTAGGGAGACTTTACCGCCCCCTACACTTATCTCTTTACCATTACCGTTAAAAAAAATCTCACTTTATTCTTTTTACAAACTAAATAACTCACCATTTCAATTTTTAATGTTCTATTTAACTTTTTCGAAATCGGTGAATTTACACCTCTAAATAAGTTTTTCAAATTACTTTTGTATTGGTTAAAAGTAAAATAGAAGGTGATAACTTGGACACGTAGAATGCAAGAGGTTATGTATGTGTGATTTATATGGAATAAGTTCTTGAACTTTTTCTCATTTTCAGATTCGGATATTTATAAGAGCTAATGGGTTGGGTGAGGATAGAGAAACAATCTTCCCTTAACTTCTTAGTGGAATTAGTGAAGAAATGACTTTCCTCCTTGAATGAAGGCCTACTCTCAATCTGTTGGAGGCCATCATATCCACTCTGCATCTAAACATGAAGTACACACTATTTAACGAGTGGGTTAGACTGGTCCAAAGGGATCAAGAAATTGCCCAAGAATGTTATCAAAGCAGCCTCAAAATGAGAAGAGTAAGGGTAGTTGTAGCCGTCGTTCCACAATCAGGTGGGTAGGGAATGAATGTTGCACACTTAGATCTCATGATATATATGAAGAATGAAAGTCTCACTCCTACATGGGACCTAAAAGAGGTCCTAATTGGGACATAAGATTTTCAAGTCACCAAACTAGACACCTCCCTATTTGAAGCAGAGAAAGAGGAATTCATCGCCTTGGTGAGGTGGAATATTGACTTGTTCGCTTGGACGCCCGCCGACATGCCAGAGTAGTCTGCCATCTCACTACCATTGACTCCACTGTGAAACCCGTGTCTCAGAGAAAGGGAAAATGGTCGAGGAGAAACGGGTGACAATTGATAAAGAGGTTAATAAGTTGAACAGTGAAGGCTTCATAAATGAGGCCAAATATCTGACCTGGTTAGCTAGCATTGTCTTTGTTCAAAATTCACCGCATAAATGACACATGTGTGTCATTTCACTGATCTGAATGCCACCTACCATAAGGACCCATACCCACTACCCAATATTGACATGATGGTTGATTGATCTCCAAGATACAAAACACCGAGTTCCGTGGATGCTCACTCTAAATGCATTCAGATAATGATAGATCATATGTACACACCCAAAACAAAGTTCATGTCCAATCATGGAAAATACTACTACAATTTCATAGCTTTCAGACCAAAGAACATGGACGCCGCCTACTAGAGATTAATGGGCATAATGTTTTCAAATCCGGCAGGGAGAAACCTTGAGGTTTACATTGATGATATGATTGTGAAGACTTCATAGGATGAAGGCCAGTGTGTAGACTTGAAAGACATCCTAGAGGCAAACAAGAGGTATAACATACAACTAAACCCCACCAAGTGCTCTTTCAGAATTTAGGCAGGTAAATTCTTAGGATTTATGCTAACCAAGACAAAGATAGAGACACACCTATACAAGTACCAAGCTATCATCAATATGAGAAACCCTTATAGAATTTAGAAGGTTCAACAACTAACAAGGTGACTAACCTCCCTAACTCATTTTCTTTCTAGTGCCAGTGACAAGGCATTCCATTTCTTCGTTACTTTGAAAAACGAGGAGAAATTCGAATGGACGAGCAAATGCAAGGATGCATTCACTAAGATGAAGTTATTTCTAAATACATCAACCAAATTGACACGCCCAGAGGCTGGCACACCACTATATTTGTATATGTCTGTCACTGATCATGGTATGAGCTTTGTGCTCATTCAGGAGGAGAACAAAATTGAGCATCCTGTTTATTTTGTGAGAAAGTTGTTCAAAGGCATCGAGGCCTAATACCAAAAGATTGAGAGATTTATGATCGCGACTTTAAGAGTCTATCGGGTGTATTAACTGCAAATGCACAATTTAATCGTGTAGTTTTAAAAGATATCGAACCCACAAGGACTGATAATCGAACTACTACTATCTAAAGTTATCGTGTAAAGCTAAGGCTAATGATAAATCTTAGGTTTTGGGTTATACGAAAATAAGCTTAAATTGGAATATTTAATAACGGGACACCGATATGTAATACGTCTGACTTCAGGAATTCAATAAATCATTGGCATATCTTTGAGTATTCAAAACGCTTGTTCAGTAGAAACTATCAATTTAAAAGCCTTTATCTCACACTCTCATGATTATTGATTCAGATTATATAATTAAACCTAAATGCTTACTCTCGCTGTCTCATTTAAAATCCAAAAATACTTTTTGAAAACAAATAGAATCTAATTAATCCTAAACCGCTCTCGCTGTATTTAAAACTAATGTTTGATTATCACTATCCGGTTAAAAGCTTACACTCTCGTGATTATTGATTTTAGCCTTCGTTTGTCTCTTACTCTCGTAACAAAACAATTTTATATTAAAAGTTGGAAACCAAACCAGAAAAGTATTTTATAAAAGGTTTATTCCAAATTATTACCGAACTCCTTCGGTTTGTGACCTTACATATCGGTATCAGGGAAGTTAGTCGGACATATTATTCATTACGAACACAAAATAGTAGCAAACATATAATGATTCAACCATGATTGATAAATAGAAAACAGTAATATGATTAAATTAAAAACCTGGAATTAAATAATGGAAAATAGAATTTCAGCAACACTTCTAGTACTGATATCGATCCTCCACAATATGCCGGTAGGATTTGCTTGCGAAAAAATAACTTGAATGCAAAATAAAAAAATAAAAAACTTAAAGCAAAATTCAGGAGGCTATGAAAAGAAACTAATGATGTAATATATTTTCGGTGTATAAATCTATTGCTGTTTAGGTGAAGGTTTTATCTGCTTAAAGATTCTAAACAAAGCGCTGAACTGTTGAAACTGGAATAATGGCGTGAAAAAGCGAAATACGAGATATCGTAAACAAAGATGAGAGAGAGCGGAGAGAACTCCTGTTGTAAAACCGTCCTTCTATTATATCCCTCCTATAACATATTTCTTGAGAGAATCTAGGAGTTGTGACTTCATGGCCTCAGAAAAATCTGTGTGTGAAGAAAGACCAGGAGGAAATAATACAGGAGTCGTTGGTACTGCTAACATGGAGAATCATGAAGAAAACTTCGCGTCAAATAGAAAAATAGCCTGTACCGAGTGGCATGCATTGTGTGTCGTAGGACACACATATTTTTATCTCGTGTCGATCGTCATGGCATGTGTGCCAAGGGACACACATGTTTAACTTGTGTCGAACGTCAGGGAAGGTGTGACGACCGTCAAGACCTTCTGATATGAATTCTCTGCTATTTTATAATTTTCAGTTTGTTTCTTTTCCATTTCTTCTCCTTTTTTTCATGTAGGCCTTGGATGAAATAATTACCTGAAATAAACTTGAAATGCCAACATAATGCAACACAATTGAGATAAAACGTTAACTTTATTTATGCAAATCGAGTCGAATATGCTAGTATTTTTGCGTTATCAAACTCCCATATACTTGAACATTTGCTTGTCCTTAAGCAAATCATCAGTATAGTAATCTTTTAAGCATAGGTTAAATGTAATTACATGACATAAATTAATTTGTACGTGGTTGTGCGGTGTTTTCGTTAAAACAATATAAGCTTGTCATACTCTAATTTTTTTACATACGATCCCACCCTCCATCTGCATCATTGCATGGCAATTGTTCACCAGTGATTTGACCTATTTTTGCCAATTCTCAAGTCATATTTCAAAAATTCATAACTTCTTCAAAAATTTCAATATTTTGAGCGATTCGTTGTGCATATGATTTTCCTTGACATCATCTATAATTTTTATTTACAAGTCAAGAGTTGATTATGCTTTGAAAAGCCACGAAAAAATAGAAATGTTAGAAGTCGTTTATGAAGTTAGTGGAATTTGATTTCTATTGTGTTTTATTCATGATTTCTTTTCCATTAAAAAAAATCACAAAAAATGTACTTAGCATCATGTTATTTTTTTTATTTACTATTTTTACTTCTTTACTAAAAAATTTTCAAAATATATTTTTTTATTAATTTAAATTTATATATAGGTATCATTTATTTCAAAAAAAATCTAGAAAAATTTATATAAGTCCTTTTACTTTCTTATATATATATATATATATATATATATTTTATTTTTTATTTTTTAATTTACACTTTTATTTTCATTTATTTTAATTCAAGAAATAAATCTTAAATAGTTAATTTAATGTCTCTTTTATTTTCTATTTTCTATTTATTATTATTACTAACACTTTTAGTTTCTTTTATTATTATTATTATTATTATTATTATTATTATTATTATTATTATTATTATTATTATTATTATTATTATTATTATTATTATTATTATTATTATTATTATTATTATTATAATTACTTTGTTATTTTGTTA